GACTGCCTTCGGCTCAGGTCATGATCCTGGAGTTCCGGGATCGAGTCCCGCATCGGGCTCCCTGCTCGGCAGGGAGCCTGCTTCTCCCTCTGACCGTCCCCCCTCTCATGCTCTCTATCTCATTCTCTCTCAAATAAATAAATAAAGTCTTTAAAAAAAAAAAAAAAGTGTAATGTAAAGTCCCATCCCAGTTCCACTCCCTAAAGATAGCCACTGTTAGCAGTTTCTCCTGTATCCTTCCAGAAGTTGCCTGTAGCTGCACTAGCATATGCGTCTGTTCTCAGATGCATCTTATTTGTAATGATGAGGACTATGACACACTTACTATTTGATAACTTGCTCTTTTTTCCACCAGAATTCCTGTTTGGGACATCCTTATATATCAATATTAGAGATTCACTTCATGGGTCTCGATGATTGCTGGAAAATCTGCTTTTGTTTAAAAGTACCATAATTTGTACATTCTCCTGTTAAAGGACTCTCATTGTGACCAGTTTTTTGCAAATAGTATTGTAATGGACATCCTCGTACCTTTTCTCTACTTCTGTCAGCATGTCCTTTGAGTAAATTCCTAGAAATCATGCCCGAGAGTTTAAATGTCAATAGCTATTGCCAAATTTGCCTTTCAAAGAGGTTGTGTCATTTTGCTCTCCCACAGGGTATGATAGATCCTGTTAATTCCATGCTCTTGTGCACAATGGATGCTATAAACCGTCTTAATCTTTGCCAAACCGATTGGTGGAAATGGTTTCACATTTGTATTTGTGTGCTTCTTTATTATTCCTGAGTTAGTTTGATCCTCTTTGCTTGTACAGAAGCTGTTTCTTTTTAAGAAATGTGGACATTTCCAAACATCCTGCATTTGTAGCTAGTCGTTAAGTATGAGGCTATGAGGCGGCTGAGACTAGTGAATAGAAAAAAACTTGAGCTTGGAAATAGGAGACCTGAGTTTCGTTTCAGATCTGCTACTTTCTAACTAAGAAGTTTCTGATAAATCTGGCAGGATTCTTCAAGTGGTGAGCTAGAGATTAAGTAATCTGTAAAGATTACTCAACAGGAACGTCTCTAGTAATGCCGGCATGTAGTTCATGCTTAGTAACAATTATGGTTAACATTTATTGAGCGCATGCTATGCGCTAAATTCTGAAGCATTTTACACGTACTGGTACGTTTAATAATCACAAAACAATCCAGGAATTTTTTGAACTACAGTTGTCACCACGTTACAGAAGAGAAAACTGAGGCACAGAGGGAGGTGAGATTATTTGCTCATGGTCACACAGCCCGCAGTCTTCATTCCAGAGCCTGCACTGCAGTTCCTTAGCAGGAGAAACAGGCTAGAGCTGCCCTGTCCAGTAGGGTAGCCTCTAGGCACCTGTGGCTATTAAGCCCTTGAAATGTGGCTAGTCTGAACAGAGATGCAGTGTAAGTGTAAATTACACATCTGATTTTAAAGATTCAATGTAGAAAAATAGAATGTAAAGTGTCTCATTAACTTTTTTGATACTGATTACATTTTGAAATGATAATATTTTAGATAAATATTTTTTAAATTTCACCCTTAAAAAATGTTGTCATGTGTTTACTAGATTTTTATTTCCATTGGACCATGCTGTTCTAGAGGAAACCATTGGACTTGTCGCTTTAAATATTTAGCACACAGCCCACAGATGTGTACAAGCCTTCCGTACACCAGGCATTGTATTGGGTGAGAGTCCAGGGGAACACAAAGCAGAATCAGGCGTTGCCCATGACGAGCCCACAGACCGGCAGGCAGGGTGGGTGGGCATGCTTTTGACTTGGTTGAAGCTGAGTTGACCAGTCTGTATCTGCTGTTGATTTTTGCTTCGGCTAGGTGTCTGCCTGCATCCCAGTGCTCAAGCTGGCCAGACGGCCCAAGAAGATCCTGTTTTATTGTCACTTCCCAGATCTGCTGCTCACCAGGAGAGATTCTTTTCTGAAACGCTTATACAGGGCCCCGATGGACTGGATAGAGGAATACACTACAGGCATGGCGGACTGCATCTTAGTCAACAGCCGGTTTACAGCTGCCGTTTTTAAGGAAACATTCAAGTCCCTGTCTCACATAGACCCCGATGTCCTCTACCCATCTCTGAATGTCACCAGCTTTGACTCTGCTGTTCCTGAAAACCTCGATGACCTCGTCCCCAAGGGGAAGAAATTCCTGTTCCTCTCCATCAACAGATACGAAAGGAAGAAAAACCTGACTTTGGCACTGGACGCCCTAGGAAAACTGCGTGGAAGGTTGACATCCCAGGATTGGGACAAGGTTCATCTAATCATGGCAGGTGGTTATGATGAAAGAGTCCTGGAGAATGTGGAACACTATCAGGAATTGAAGGAAATGGTCCAGCAGTCCGACCTTGGACAGTGTGTGACCTTCCTGCGCTCTTTCTCAGACACACAGAAAATCGCACTCCTCCAAGGCTGTACCTGTGTGCTTTACACACCGAGCAATGAACACTTTGGCATCGTCCCTTTGGAGGCCATGTACATGCAGTGCCCGGTCATTGCCGTGAATTCGGGTGGGCCCTTGGAGTCCGTCGTCAACGGCGTCACAGGGTTTCTGTGTGAGCCTGACCCAGTGCACTTCTCAGAAGCGATGGAAAAGTTCATCCACGAACCTTCCTTAAAAGCCACAATGGGACTGGCTGGGAGAGCCAGGGTGAAGGAAAAGTTTTCCTCTGCAGCTTTTACAGAACAGCTCTACCAGTGTGTCACCAAACTGCTGGTATAATCCTACTTTTTAAAGGCCTGTATGCTGTATTCATTAGTATCATTTTTTGTAGATTGTAGCCTCACTTTTGAAACCGAGAAAGAAACCTAGAGTCCATTACAGAAGCGATTAAAAGAAAAATAAACTTGAATCTTTTTTTTTTTTTAAAGATTTTTTTTATTT